CCTTTGACCCAGTGACCTCAAAATCAATAGGAGTCACCTTATGGTCATGACTAACCTCCATGCCAAATATGAAGACTGTGTGTCAAAGGAATCTTAAGTTATTGGGCGGACAAGATTTTTATAGTCAAGGCCCCTGTGACCTTGACCTTTGACCAAGTGACCTCAAAATCAATAGGGGTCACCTTATGGTCATGACTAACCTCCATGCCAAATATGAAGACTATGGGTCAAAGGAATCTTAAGTTATTGGGCGGACAAGCTTTTTATAGTCAAGGCCCCTGTGACCTTGACCTTTGACCCAGTGACCTCAAAATCAATAGGGGTCATCTACTTGTCATGACTAACCTCCATGCCAAATATAAAGACTGTGGGTCAAAGGAATCTTAAGTTATTGGGCGGACAAGGAACAAGAGCTGTCACAGGAGACAGCCAAGCTCGTCTAATAAAATACTGGACGCAGTAAGGACAAAACTATGAAAGAAAAATCAATTATGTATAATTATGTATTAAGTTATAATAAAAAAATAACATTTGTTAAAATAAATTCCAAGATCAAGGGAAATAATTCTAGAAATAGTCCTGCTAGAGTTATGAACCTTGTCACACAGCATGTATGTTATGATAAGAAGTATATATTTGAAGTTTGAAGTAGATACCTTAAAAAGTAACAAAGTTATAATATTTCTTAAAGAAAATCCTAAGTTCAAAGGGAGATAAATCTGTAAAGATTACTTCAAGAGTAATGAACATTGTCACATAAAATATAATTGATTACAAGGAATAAGTATTTGAAGTTTGAGGTAGATACCTTTAAAACAAAAAAAGTTATGTAAAAAATAACAAGTTGATGGGGAGATAATTCTTGCAATATTGGTGCTAGAGTTATGAACCTTGTCACATAAGATGTGGAAGATGATAAGGTACATTTATTAGAAGTATGAAGTTGATCCCTTAAGAAATAAAGAAGTAACAGTAAAAAATAAAGTTCAAGGGGAGATAAATCTGAAAATATTGGTGCTAAAGTTATGAACCTTGTCACATAAGATGGGGATGATGATAAGGTACATATATTTAAAGTATGATGTTGATCCCTTAAGAAATAAAAAAGTAACACTAAAAAATAGTATTTTTCAAGGAAAATTCTAAGTTCAAGGGGAGATAAATCTGAAAATATTGGTGCTAGAGTTATGAACCTTGTGACATAAGATGTGGTTGATGATAAGGAACATATATATGAAGTTTGAAGTTGATACCTTAAGAAATGACAAAGTTATAGTGAAAAATATTTTACTGTACCAAAACTTTAATCTGAAATCTGGACGCGGACACCGGGGCGAGTAGGACAGCTCTCCATATACTTTGTATAGTCGAGCTAAAAACGACGGACGGCCAGACATCCAGACGGCGGGACAGACGAACGGACAAGCTGATTCCAGTATACCCCCCGGGGTATAACTATGTATGTGAGGTTTCATTGAAATCTCACCAGTAGCTGGACCTGTGAAAGCCAGACAAGATTTTTCTTTTTTTAGCTCTGGCGGCCATTTATTGCAGCGAAGCAGAACGTGCCGTTGATGTGCACAACTAGGGATAGTACTGATCACTCCTGTAAAGTTTGGTTGAAATCCCACCAGTAGTTTGACCTGTGAAGGCTGGACAAGAATTATCTATTTTTAGCTCTGGCCGCAATTTTGTGCAGCGAAGCAGAACATACAGGTGATGTGCACAACTAGGAATGGTACTGATTACTTCTGTAAAGTTTGGTTGAAATCCCACCAGTAGTTTGAAATGTGAAGGGCGGACAAGATTATTCTTCTTTTTTAGCTCTGGTGGCCATTTTGTTCATCGAAGCGGAACATGCCGATGATGTGCACAACTAGGGATGGTACTGATCACTCCTGTAAAGTTTGGTTGAAATCCCACCAGTAGTTTGACCTCTGAAGTATGACAAACTTAATGGGGACGGGAAGACAACCTAATGGACGGACAAACTTACAAAATGGTACGTCTGTGACGTTTCCTTTGATTTTTTTAGTCACACAAGGCTTAAAACAAGATAGCATTTGTGAAAAATGCTATGCCACCACATTTATACAATACTAAATAGTACTGTAGGAACAGATTTTTTTGTTTCTATACAATTGAAGATTGTCATAATGCATAGATCCCTGACCTATCTAATTCTTATTATCAGATTAGTGGTTTCAATCTATTGTTATTCAAATAAAAGATCAGAGTAAGGAATATATCAATGCAGTTAAGTCTAGTGAATTTGGTGGTGAATGTCATATTTCACACAGCCTAAATTTCATGACTACAATATCAAAGTTCAATTTCACAACTAAAACTGTGCACATGGTCAAAATTTCATTGCTGTACAAGGAAGGAAGGACAAGGAAGTAGGTCACTGTCCCCTTGGGCAAGGCAAAATGTTGACCCAAGGATTTAATTCAAAACAATCTTGATACAGGTCCACCAAAAACATTTCATGTCAAATATCTAAGCTGTAGCTTTCTCCAATTCAGAAAACATTTGTTTTAGTTTCTGTTTTTACTATTGTGTACATAATGAATTTCAATGCCCCCAGGCAAGGCCAAGGGAATAATTTGAACAACGTTGGTAGAGGACCTATAGATGATATTATATTACAAACATCAAAGCACTATGCCTTGTACCTTCAGACAAGAAGATTTTTAATTTTTTTACTACATGTATATAGTGAATATCAATGACCCTGGGCAGGGCCAATTTTGACCCCAAGGCTATAATTTGAACAATCTTGGTAGAGGTTCACTTCGCAAAGTCTCAGGCCATATATTTAACCTCTAGCCTTTGTCAATTCAGAGAAGAAGATTTATCAAGTTTTTACTTTATACATATAAGGAAAACTACCGCCTCTGGGGCAGGGCAATTTTAACACTAGGGGCATAATTAAAACAACTTTAGTAGAGGACCCATAGATGATATTATATACCAAATATCAAAGCTCTAAGTCTTGTACCTTCAGACAAGAAGATTTTTTAATTTTTTACTATATGTACATAGTGAAAATCAATGACCCCTAGGGTTGGGGCCAATTTTGACCCCAGGACTATAATTTGTACAATCTTGCAAAAGGTTCACTACACAATGTTTCATGCAAAATATCTAACCTCTAGCCTTTGTAAATTTAGAGAAGACAATTTTTAAAGTTTTTACAATATACATATATGGAAAACCTATGACCCCCGGGGCGGGGCTTATTTGACACTAGAGGCAAAATTTGAACAACTTTGGTAGAGTACCTATAGATGATATCACATAACAAACATTAAAGCTCTAAGTCTTGTACCTTCAGACAAGAGGATTTTTTATTTCTTACTGTATATACATAGTGCAAATCAATGACCCTCGGGGCCCCAGGGTATAATTTGAACAATCTTGCTAGAGGTTCACTACATAATGTTTCTTGCAAAATATCTAACCTCTAGCATTTGTAAATTAAGAGAAGATGATTTTTTTTTAAGTTTTTACTATATACAGATAAAGAAAATCTATGACCCCCGGGGCAGGGCTGATTTTGACACGAGAGGCAAAATTTGAACAACTTTGGTAGAGTTACATAGATGGTCTATAGTAATTCTACCAAAGTTATTCAAATTTTGCCTCTCGTGTCAAAATCAGCCCTGCCCCGGGGGTCATAGATTTTCCTTATCTGTATATAGTAAAAAGTTAAAAAACTTTATCACATACCAAATATCAAACCTCTAAGCCTTGTACCTTCAGACAAGAAGGTATTTTAAGTTTTTACCATATGTACATAATAGTGAAAATCAATCAACCCGGGGCAGGGCCAATTTTAACCGTATGGCTATAATTTGAACAATCTTGGTAAAGGTCTACCAGACAATGCCTTATGCAAAATATCTAAGCTCTAGGCCTTTTGGGTCTTTACAAGAAGATTTTTTAAATATATTCTTATAATTCCTTTTGGTTGCCATGGCAACTAGATTTCTGCATGGAATGAAATTCTTTGAAAAACTTTGGAAGCCCTTTACCCAAGGATCAATCATGCCAAGTTTGGTTGAAATTAGACTAGTGGTTTTTCACAAGATAGTTCACTATATAATCTATAGAACACACAAACATACATACAAACACACACAGGTGAATCGCTATATGCCACCGCATCACAATTGCTGTAGTGGCATAAAAAGACACACAAGTAAAAACTGCATGAGTAGGATCAAAGAGAATTAATTGTTACCTATTGTTCTCCAAGTCACAAAAGTACCTCTGGGTTTGTACTGACAGATGGACGGAGGGTAAACCTAAAGTCCCTTCAGTTGAACTGGTAGGGGACTAATTACCAAGTTACCCTCAATCAAAACAAAAATCAGTGAAAATTAAAAACTTAACCTTCAAGGTCAAGGTCATAAAAGTACCAACGTCAATTTGAGGGTCTTATCCTAAAGAATGTTGTGTTATAATATGAAGTCAATCCATTCATTATTAACAAATTTGTAGCCAGTAACAGAAAAAATATATGAAAATTTCAATAATTTGACCTTCCAAGGTCAAGTCATTTATAAATGAAAGTCAAGGTTTGTGTTATTTACTTGACGGTCTATCCTTATAGATTATTATGTTCAAATATGAAGACAATCCATTCAAAAATAGCAAAATTATAGCCTCTAATAGCAAAAGTCTGCAAAACAACAAGCAAAATTTAGACATTTGACCTTGAAGATCAAGGTAATTTATGAATGAAGGTCAAAGTTATTCAGATCTACTTAAAGGTCCCAAGGGTTTTTGTGGCTAAGCATGAAGACAATATACCAAGAACTTAAAACGTTATGATCAATGTTACAGTTTGAGGATGGTAACGGCAATGCCGGTATGACTGTAACAATACCTCTATTTCTTTTTTTTTTCAAAGAAATGTTGAGCTAAAAAATTCATATATCAAAATTTGTTAACTGCCATTACATCAAACCTTAAAACCATAATAATGTATGTACCTGCTCTTTCTATGGCAGCCTGAATGGCGATGGAGCCAAGCCTTGTAGCAGGAAGAGGAGCAAGACTACCGAGAAAGGATCCAACTGGGGTACGTACTGCACTGGCTATAACTACATCCTAGGGGTCAATATATAACATAAATATGAAGAAAAGTGACATACAATTGTTATTTTTTAAAGTACAGTCGAGACTGTCATATGTGACTTTCAAAGGGATCTTCAGAAAAAGGTCACATATGACAGGGAGTCTCTTAATACAGTCTCATAGAAAAATAAAATTTAAATACCATCTATCTCTCTTTATACCATTGTGACTTAACATATACAGGTATACAGTAAAACTGTGTGAAGGAATAATATCTAACCAATTGCAAATACACATAGGTACTTAAAATATTTGATGTAAATAATAAGAATCCCTGTAAAGCAAATATAATCGTATGTATATCATATAAAATTTTATTTTATTTTTTGTATTAGATTTATATTGAATCATTATGGTACAAAATAAACTTGAATTTGATGCATTCAAATCCTTAAAATAAATATCATACTATTAAAAACATATCCATATCCAAAGGTTTTTCAAGTCTGGTATCAACATTTTTCATAATATTTCATGCAGCCATTGAAAGGTAAATAAAAAAAACAAGATTGCATTTGAGAACAAGAGCTCCGCTAGGCAGAGCATTATATGCCCGAAAGTGATTTTTTTATTTTTAGTAAAGATGAAGCATTTGTAAGACATGGGAATTAAATAAAGTATTACCTCCTTCAAATAACAATCCTCCTTTGAAGTTTCAATATTGTGGTCCAAATGGAACTTAAGTTATGCCCCAGAAACTGTTTTCAATTCTAAGGTAATAGTGACCTTGACCTTTGACCTTGTGACCCCAAAATCATTAGGGGTCTTCTACCCAATATGGACAATCATACTATGAAGTTTAAACACAGTAGGCCAAATGATACTTAAGTTATGTTCCGAAAACTGTTTTCAGTTTTAAGTAATAGTGACCTTGACCTTGTGACCCCAAAATCAATAGGGGTCTTCTACCCAATATGGACAATCATCCTTTGAAGTATGAACACTGTGGGCTAAATGGAACTTAAGTTATGCTCTAGAAACTGTTTTCAATTCTAAGGTAAAAGTGACCTTGACCTTTTACCTTGTGACCCCAAAATCAATAGGCGTCTTCTACCCAATGTGGACAATCATCCTACGAAGTTTGAACACTGTAGGCCAAATGGAACTTTCAGTTTTAAGGTCACAGTGACCTTGACCTTTGACCATATGACCCCAAAATCAATAGGGGTCTTCTACCCAATATGAGCAATCATCCTATGAAGTTTGAATATTGTGGGCCAAATGGAACTTAAGTTATGCTCCGGAAACCAAATTGCTAACGGACAGAAGGACGAACGGACGGACGGACGGATGGACGTTCCAACATTTTTGGTTTAGGAGCTATTTTCTTTGTTTCCTTATGGGCTACTAGCCCATAAACCCTTTGATCATGGAATGAATACTGTTCTCTTTTGTTCTCTTTACTGTTATATAGTCCCTAAACACAAAATGTTTGCTTGGACGGACAGACGGACGAACAAGGGTAAATCTAAATGCCAGCCACTAAAGTGGGGGACACAAAAAAGCTGCATTCTGTGAATGAGTTTGCAAGTATTATTTCTAAAGGCTAATATGACCTAGATCTACTCCAGTTCTTTGTGAAATCTGGAAATTTGCTTGGGTTATAGCTGACAAAATTTGATTAGAACAAACAAAAGAAATTGTCTGATAACAGCATTATGTAAAGTTATAATTAGGAAATAGATATCAATTCTGAGTGCATTGTTGTAGAATAATGCATGGTTTGAGTTCAAATGCGTAGTAATAAAATCATGAAGGCCGATAGGCCTGAGCGATTAATTACAAAGCATTTGAACGAAAAACGTGCATTAATTACAAAGTATTTGAACATAAAACGTGCATTATTATACAATAATGCACGAAGAATTCATATCTATTTCCATTCTAACATGTCAAGAAAAAAATTAATTATTATAATAAAGTTGGACTTTATGTTTGGTGGTTATATTTGTTTTCACCTCAGAGTTTCCAATAGAAACGTTCTTTAAAGGCTGTTCCAGTGGGTTGAAAAAAATGTTGTTAAATCTACCGTGTGTAGAAATATTTTGAGAATAACGAATTTTGAAAATGTTGATAGAACTTTGTTTGTTTATTTTATTTCAGTATAAAATTTACCATGCAAAATACAAATTATTAAAAGTGAAATAAATGTAAAACTTAACTTGTTTGCGACACTAAAATAGCGTTTTTGATTTGATTGTTATGCACGTGCTGTTTGGCGCTACATTGTGATGTCATGTTAAAAACACTTTAAACGTCTGTACAGCGTAAACGACTGAATTAAAGATATTGGTGCTCGGATTCATTTTCTTAGTTAGACCATTTTCTTTCATTCTAGATAGTTTTCACAGCAAAGTTCAACAAAAATTGCTTTTATTTATCAGATTTTTCAAACAAAATGGCGCCCTCAAAGTGAAAATACACAGGGAGATAAAAAGAATGGCGAGGACATTCTTTAGCAATTGAGAAGAAAAGCTTTTTCTTGTCAAGGTCCCTGTGACCCTGACCTTTGACCCAGTGACCTCAAAATCAATAGGGGTCACCTTATAGTCATGATCAACATCCATGCCAAATATGAAGACTGTGGGTCAAAGGAATCTAAAGTTATTGGGCAGACAAACTTTTTGAAGTCAAAGTCCCTGTGACCTTGACCTTTGACCTCAAAATCAATAGGGGTCATCTACCAATCATGACTAACCTAAATTCCAAATATGAAGACTGTGGGTCAAAGGAATCTTAAGTTATTGGGCGGACAAGTTTTTTGAAGTCAAGGCCCCTGTGACCTTGACCTTTGACCTGGTGACCTCAAAATCAATAGGGGTCATCTACAAATCATGACTAACCTCCATGCCAAATATGAATACTGTGGGTCGAAGGAATCTTAAGTTATTGGGTGGACAAGTTTTTTGAAGTTAAGGCCCCTGTGACATTGACCTTTGACCTGGTGACCTCAAAATCAATAGGGGTCATCTACTAATCATGACTAACCTCAATGCCAAATATGAAGACTGTGGGTCAAAGGAATCTTAAGTTATTGGGCGGACAAGCTTTTTGAAGTCAAGGCCCCTGTGACCTTGACCTTTGACCTGGTGACCTCAAATCAATAGGGGTCATCTACTTGTCATGACTAACCTCCATGCCAAATATGAGGACTAAGGGTCAAAGGAATCTTAAGTTATTGGGCGGACAAGCTTTTTGAAGTCAAGGCCCTGTGACCTTGACCTGGTGACCTTAAAATCATTAGTAGTCATCTACTTGTCATGACTAACCTCCATGCCAAATATGAAGACTGTAGGTCAAAGGAATCTTAAGTTATTGGGCGGACAAGCTTTTTGAAGTCAAGGCCCCTGTGACCTTGACCTTTGACCTAGTGACCTCAAAATCACTAAGGGTCATCTACTAGTCATGACTAACCTCCAGGCCAAATATGAAGACTAAGGGTCAAAGGAATCTTAAGTTATTGGGCGGACAAGAAAAAACCGATGAACAGCCGGACGGACGGCCTGACGGACAAGCTGATTCCAGTATACCCCCCTTACAACTTTGTTGTGCGGGGGTATAAAAAGGTAGTTATCAATATACACAAATGTATCAGTTTATTTGAGAATCCTTATAAAAAACTGAAAAAGTTTTATATATTATGTTTATTTAGACTCACCGGACCTATGCTCGCCCAGGCGCATGCTCGCCCAGATTTTTATTTTTATGATATAAACTTATGAATTAAAATATTATCTGAATCATGTGTTGTTGTTTCTTGATGCTGCAAGTGTCCTAGTTTCACACCTTGTTTTTGAAGAGTTTAAGGGAAGTTGTTAGCATAATAAAGCAGACGAAAACGAAAACCTAAGTAGAAATGAAAGTCCGTGATGCTAATAACAAGAGGGCCATGATGGCCCTGAGGTTGCTCACCTGTATAAAGGCACCTTGGGCGGGGCCAGTTTAAACCCCAGGGCTTTTATTTGAACAAACTTAGAAGACACCCATTAGAAGATGTTTCACAATGTTAAGTTTTTACTACACACATATAATGAAAAACGATGATCTACTCCCCCCCCCCCCATCCCCCGTCAGGGCCAATTTTAATCCAGGGCTTTTATTTGAACAAACTTGGTAAACACTCATTAGAAGATGTTTCATGTTAAATATCTTAGCTCTAGCTCTTTGGGTTCTTTAAAAGAAGATTTTTTTAAGTTTTTACTATATGCATATAGGGAAAATCAAAGACTGTGACCCTGGGGCAGGGCCAATTTTGACCCCAGGGCTTTTATTTGAACAAACTTGGTAGACACTCACTCGAAGATGTTTCATGCATAATATCTAAATTCTAGCTATCTGGGTTTTTTCAAAGAAGATTTTTAAGCTTTTGCTATACACTGTCATATAAGGAAAATCAATGACCCCAGGGGTGGGGCCAATTTTGACCCAAGGGTTTTTTTTTTTTTTTGAAGATGTTTCATGCTTGATATCTAAACTCCAGCTATTTGGGTTTTTTCAAAGAAGATTTTTTAAGTTTTTGCTATACACATATAAGGAAAATCTATGACCCCCGGGGCGGGGCCAATTTTGACCCCAGGGCTTTTATTTGAACAAACTTGGTAGACACCCATTAGAACATATTTCATGCTAAATATCTTAGCTCTACCTCTTTGAGTTCTTTAAAAGAAGATCTTTTAAGGTTTTTACTATATGCATATAGGGAAAATCAATGACCCCCTGGGGCAGGGCCAATTTTGACCCCAGGGCTATTATTTGAACAAACTTGGTAGACACTCATTAGAAGATGTTTCATGCCAAATATCTAAGCTCTAGCTCTTAGGGATTTTTAAAGGAGGTTTTTTAAGTTTTTCCTATTGGTTGCCATGGCAATTTTAGTTTTTAATGGAATTTAAATTTTTTAACAACTTTGAAAGGGTATATCTAAGGATCATTTCTGTAAAGTTTGGTTGCAATTGGCCATGTGGTTTAGGAGGAGATGTTGTTTGAAAAGTTTGACGCCATTTTTTGAAGGAAGCACAGACGCATGACAGACGCAGAGTGATGACAAAAGCTCACCCTTGATCACTTTGTGCTCAGGTGAGCTAAAAACAACGAATCGTGTGTGACTTTTTAATAAAATCTTAATAAAAATCAACTTAAAATAAAAATTAAACATTGTTCTTACTTTTTGTAAAGTTTAAGTCGTTGCGATATATTTAAAACAGTCATAAACTGGTATTGACACCAGGCTGTCATATTGTTTTTCCACATGCAATTTCCAGGGCAGCCACAATAGTCGGCTTTTTCAATTAAATCTGTTGCTTTTGGTGCATTTATGGTGTATTTTTGGTTAGACACTGATTTATTAATAACTTACTAGATAATTAACGAAGACTGCAGCTTTAAATAAAAAATTAATTACTTTTTTCGTCTTTTATCAGAAGTTACTAAAAATAACCTAGGTCTTACACCACTAATTTTTCCCCATATCCTCTTCAGAGTGATCAGTATGCCCAGTATGCCCAGGCAACAAAAAATTCATGATCCTGAGACATTTGAAAAAGGCAAGAAAGCTTTTAAAAGAGGGATATGTCAAATGGTGCCACTATAAGTGCTTGCCATCTAATGTGCAAACAGATGTAGATCTTAGTTTAGTTACCAGCACAAGGTGGTTTTGTAGATATTGTGAAGAGGAGTAATTGTTGAAACTGTAGACAACACACTGTTGTTTTTGTTCTAGTTTATGTTTCTAGTTAACTTTTTGAATTTGAAAAAAACTTATGTACATGATATTTAGTCACAGAAACTTTTTAATCACACTCTACCAACAGCAGTTGACTATCTTTTGAAAAAATGAAAAGTCTACATAGTAAGTATATCTAAATAAGATTTTCTCTGTAAAAATATAATTATAATGCAAAATATAAATACCTGCTTTATATTAACAAAAATATAATTATAATGCAAAATATAAATACCTGCTTTATATTAACAAATTAGTCTAAAAATATGATGAATGATTTTAGGTAATATCCGTTTTATATTCATAATAAACCGGTGGGTGAGCATGGGTCTCCTCCCTTCAACATTTCAGAATATTAATTTGGTGGTGTTTGACCTAGCAGACAGTACCCGGATGTAAGTGTTTATGTTTTAAATGGGTCACATTACGTACCAAATATGACCAGCTATAAAACAAATTCGAAAAAGTTTTTTTAAAGTCAAAGTGTATTAAATAGTAATCAAATAATTGCCTTTATTGGGCGAGCATAGGTCCGACGAGTCTAATCAACTGCTTATGTTGTTAATCGCTAAATCGTGAATAGTCTGCTAAACATTTGGTTATTATTCTTTTAAGTTAAAAATATTGGCTGCTATTTTATTTAAGCCAGTGATATCCCCTGGGGCAGGGCCAATTTTTGACCTGAGAGCTACTTGGTATACACCCACTAGAAGATATTTCATGCTAAATATCTAAAATCTTGCTCTTCAGAAGAAGTTTTTTTTAAGATTTCTCTTTCTGTGGCCATGGCTACCAGAGTTCTGCATGGAATGCAAGTCTTTGAACAACTTTCAAAGGTGACCACCCAAGAAACATTCCTATAAAGTTTTGATGAATTTCGCTTTGTGGTTTATGAGATGTCATTTCAAGTATAAGTTTATGGACGGAGGAATTGCAATCACAAAAGCTCACCATGTCACTGACTTATGAATGATTTCCACTGATGGAAAGGTTATTTCTCATCTAAAAAGAGAAAAAAAAACAAGCCTGAATATCTTAAAGACATGGCAACCTTAGCAACGATCTTACAAGAGTTACATGATTGCAGATGCCAGTGGTGTACACACTGATATCTCTCCATTTTCCCTGAAATTACACCCTGCATATATATTATATTTTTTAAAAATTAATGTATCATAAACATTATCTTTTAGGAAGAAATAATTAATACAAACTTACATTTAAACCAGAAAGCTTTGTCAGCTTTCTTAAAAACTGCCTTGAATGTGTCCTCTGAAAACAGAACAGAAATTCCAATCATAATTATATAAGAAAGTACTCATTTAATGTAACAAGAACTGTAGGAGGACAATAACACTCCACTATTCGAAAAGTTGTTTCATTGAGTATAATAATGCTTACCTATATGAAAACATAAAACTGTCCGAAAAGTTACAAAGGCTTGTAATTAAGATGTTTTATCGAGTAAATCACTTCTTTATTATAATGAATGCAATTAATTATAATGAATGCATAAATTGTCCCAAAAAAGGCACAAACCCTTCAGTAGTTATGGAGATACCAGCTAACACACAAAAACTTAACCACAGGGACGCCGACAAATGGGTGACTGCATTGTCAAGCTAAAAAGTATTAAATAACTCAGGTCTCGCAACACACTTTCATGTTTATTGTTTTTTTAATATCACTGTTTGAAACTTTTAACATATTTGTTTAAGTTTGCTATAAAACCTATTTGAACCAAACTTGCATTAACAGAAGCCAAATAATTTGGAATAAATGTGAAAGTACCTTGTAGCTTTTGTTTAGTTTAAAATGCTACATGTTTAATATCTTTTACTGGTAATATAACAATGCGCTCAACTGACAAATAACGACTAAGGCTCCCTCCCATGTGACAACATTTAAACGATTGCTGAAAACTGTAACGTTGAAACAGTGGTAATTCTACATACCATACTAAACCTTGTATTCAAGTGGCCAATGGTTATCTATAATCTATCATTTTTAATACAAATTAACATTATTTTATAGGGTTCAGAAGAAATTCTACACCTTATGTCCCTGTCTCGCGCTTTAAAAGATCAAAGAAAAGTCAACTTCTCCACAATAGTTTCTGAACAACATACTTCTATGGTCTATGACAAGCTCAATGGTGTGACAATTTTACAATTTTAACCAAGAATTAAGTAATAATAGATGCAGTGTTGGAGTTGGATAAAGTAAACACATTTTATATTTAACAAAGTACTACTGCACTGTCCTGTTTGCCGCAAGTAAAAACTCTGTGATGTTGAGTTTTCACAGCTATCAGCAAAATGTAAGCTACTCTTTTGTGAAAGCCTTAGAAACTGTATCTCAGAAATAAGTCAATTAGAATTGATAAAATTCATTATTACAAAATAATTAAGATACTCTGAAAACTAACCATGTCACTTTGTTCAAAGGGACTCCTCTGAGGTTTTTTTGACATGACGGGACAGGAAATAATTTTTCGAGACTGATGGCCAACTTGATGCAGGTTTAGACTATAACTTTTGTGCAAAATTTCATATCATTTGCTCTCTCCATTTTTTTAGAATAATTATTTGAATTGGGAAAAATGGCCTAAAATTGTAAAGGCCGTTGCAACACTTTTCAATTAAATTTAGCTAGTAAGAGAACATCATACGATTTTTTATGTTTTTGAGTATATTTTTAATTTATCTCTGTATATCTTTCTGTTTTAAGTGCCCCATTTGATATTTGTAAGAAATTCTAATTTTGTTTTCAGGCTTGTGAACCTCAGTGGAGTTCCTTTAATCTTTAAGAAATAACATAAATTTTTACCAATGAAAATCAAAAAGAATAAGTTGAAACATAAACCTTAACATATTATTATGATGTGGGAGTTTGAAGTAAATCCTAAAAGGAATGAAAATGTTTGAGTAAAAATACTAATTTCTAGACAAAAAACTAAGTTCAAGGGGGACATAATTCTGGAAATAGTCAAGCTAGAGTATTAAACCTTCTGACAAATGATTTGAGTGATAATAAGAAACATATATTGAAGTAGATACATCAAGCGATGTTATCACTGTCAATAAGATCAACTCTATTATCCCAATCACTTTAATTCCCAGATGAAGCCCGACCAAGCTGAATTAAATGCACATTCACGACTCCTACATGACCTCAAGTCTACCCTTCACAATGTTTTACGACTTCTTCTCGACGACAACGCAACCTTCTCAATCACCCAGACCTATACGCGAGTCATTCACGATCTCAACTAAATTAACTGGATATCTGCTCGATTGATGCCAGATTTTCACCTGACCAGATCGTAATGATCGGAATCGAGTCATAATTAATGGCCGAGTAGAAGTCGAGATAATCCTTTACAGATCGGGTAAGAGATGTATACCTGACCAAACTAGATCATTACACAATTTATTCTCGATCAACTAGATCTTCTACTCGATCTTTTCTTGACAGCTTATCTTCTTGATTGCTACTTGAATTTTTTCGACATGTAAAAAAAATTTGGGTACGAAGCCCGAGCCATGCCGACCAAGGTAGACCACTCCGACCACCCCCCGATCACACATGCAGACCGAGCTAGACCGGTACCCCATTGCTTGATTGTGCTTGATCGAGTTGATCTGATTGGCGGTGAGAACACAGCATTAGAAACAAGAAATGTTGAACGACACATATGCCCCCCTTTCTCACCCTAATGACTCACATTATTGGTTATTTTGTTTCTAGAAACTTGCCATAAATGGGTACATGGAAGTGTTCAGTTATAGAAAAAATAAAAAAAAATGAAGATTTTGTGACAAATAGTGTTCAAGATAATGAGCCAAAACCATTCTGACATTTAAGGGCCCAGTGACTGTGACCTTTGAACTAGTGACCCAAAATCAATAGGGGTCATGTAATAGTTATGACCAATCAATAACTTTGTGATAAATAGCTTTCAAGATAATGAAGGGAAACCATACTAACATTCAAGGACCCTGTGACCTTGACCTTTGACCTAGTGACCCCAAAATAAACAGGGGTCACTTACTAGTTATGACCAATCAGTATGTGAAATATGAAGACTTTGTGATGCATAGTTTTCAAGATAATAAGAGGACACCATTCTGACATTTAAGGCCGTCTTACCTTGACCTCTGAACTAGTGACCCCAAAAGCATTACGGGTCATCTACTAGTTACGACCAATCACTATGTGAAATATGAAGACTTTGCGATAATTACCTTTCAAGATAATGAACTGAAAACATAGGACACTGTGATCTTGACCTTTGACCTGGTGACCCCAAATCAACAGGGGTTATCTACTAGTTATGACCAATCAATACGTGAAATATGAAGACTTTGTGATAAAAAGTAACCAAGATAATGAACAGAAAGCATTGAAACATGTATGGTCCCTGTGACCTTGGCCCTTTGTTCTGGTGACCCAAAAATCTACTAGATATGACCAATCATCTGTGAAATATGAAGACTTTGTCATAAATAGTTACCAAGATATTAGTTAAAAACATACTACCATTTAAGTCCCTTGTGACCTTGACCTTTGACCTAGTGATAGAGGTCATCTACCACTTATGACCAATCAATATGTGAAATATGGAGACTTTGTGAAGAATACTTTTCAAGACAACCAGCGATACCATTCTGACATTTAAGGCCCCTGTTACCGTGACCTTTGACCTTGTGACCCCAAAATCAATAGGGTTCATCTACTAGTTATTACCAATCACTTTGTGAAATATGAACCCTTTGTGATGCATAGTTTTCAAGATAATCAGAATAATTAAGGCCCTTTGACCTTGACCTTTAACCTAGTGACGCCAAAATCAATAGGGGTAATCTCTTAATGACCAATCACTGTGAAATATGAAGACTTTGTGAAGCATTGTTTTTAAGATAATCAACAGAAACCATGTGGTCTACCGATGTACAGACAGACAAAATGACGGACAGACATTAGCAAAACAATATACCCCCTCTTCTTAGAAGGGGGTGCATAATAAAGAAGTTATGGGAAAAAAAGTGTTTTTTTCATGAAAATTCAAGTTCAAAGGAGGTAATTCTGATAATTTGTGTGCTAGAGTTGTAAACTTTGTCATATATGATGTGGTTGATGATAAGGTTGTAACAGTTTACCCGTATACCGATATATTGCAATATGAAAAAATAAATTTTGTACCACAGTATGATTTTTAGAAAATCGGTATTTTATAAAAATCATAATTTTCAATTAATTGCCTTCTAATTTCGTACAAGTTTCGAAAACAATCTTTAATTGGCGGCTCTTTTTCAATATAAATGCCAACGTAAGATAAAAATATCCGACAACTAGTACATTTAAAAGTCAATAAGCGGCCACATAATTTACATAAGCAGTCCAGATAAGAAAGGTCACGCACGACTAGTTTTGTTTATCAAATTGTGTGACACTTTACTTTTAATTTAGTCCTTACATTTTTATTAAGTTTCTACTAAGAAAATATACATATAATAATAATATATAATGTTACTCCATTATTACACCGAAACAAATACACGACAATACGTATTGCAGTACGCTTCGGCAAAATGGCAATATATTGTAATACGGTTTTTGCTGTATTGTTACACCATTAGTTGATGATGATACAAACATATATTTAAAGTTTGAAAGTAATCTACAAGTCCCTTTCTGGTTAGAACCTAAGCAACATTCTGAAGGACCCTTTGCCATTCAATTATGCTATTGAATGAACTTAAATCTTTTCAGTTCTTAATTTGTCTGTATCATTGTAATGTGTTAAGTTTCTCTGCCTAGTCAAGAAATTATGTTTATACAACAGATAATCAAAAGATCAAATTTTCTCAGGATGAATATGTATAACTAATGCTTCAATTTTCAAACAATTTCAAGTTCAAAATGTTAATATTCATGAAAACCCATAACTTATAAATCTAATCACATATGATGTAGGTGTTGATAATGAATGTATATTTTAAATTTGAAGTAAACCCATAAAAATAAGAAAGTTAAAGAATGACTAATAAAAATTCAAAGTTTAAGGAGGGGAAATTATCCCTCAATGCATGACAAAGTTACAGTCTGGACATGATTGTTGTGTAAATGGGGACACAGGGACGGACAGACAAACATGAGCCTTAGCCAAGTTATTCTAAAATCCTTCCATGCATGACAAAGTTACAGCCCAGACACGATTGTGTACCTATTTATTCTAATTGTGATAATGTGAAGCTTCAAAATGTTAGTGTGACCTTGACCTTTGAGGTAGGGACGTAATTCTTGGACGGGACATATCGTCTTGATGTGGTAGACATTTTTGCTAAGTTATCATAAACTCATTTGATGCATGACAAAGCTACAGTCCGGACACGAATCTGTGTAACTATATTCTCTAATTTTGATAATGTGAAATGACAGTGTGACCTTGACCTTTGAGGTAGGGACGTGGATTCTTGGACATGGCACATCGTCTTGATGCGGTAGACATTTGTGCCACGTTATTTCAAAATCCCTCAATGTATGAAAAAGTTACAGTTCGAACACGATTGAAGTGGGGACGCACAGATGGACAGACAGACAGGCTGACAGACTTGCTCAAAGTTTGGTATTTAAGTGACTACTCTTTTGTTCTCTTTTGTTCTTCAGCCACGTTAGAGAAAAAGTAGCCACATAAGAGCTTACTGAATGAATAGCATCAAAAGAAATTTACAGTTACCTATTGTTCTTAAAGCCCCCCAAGTATCAATATATTTGTAAGGACTGACAGACAGACTGATAGTCAGAGATGGAGGATAAACTTAAAATCCCCTCCGGTTTAACTGTAGGGGACTAAAAAGCTCAAAGCCATACGATAATTTGTTTTATTTCATGTTGTTAAACCTGCTTGTATTCTGTAAACATAGAAATTTTACTCAACACATTTGAGAAATTAAGATAACTTAATGTGCCACTATGATAATGTGAGAGTGAGACTGCATTTTTTGTGTACACAAAAGTTTACAACCTTAGTCTGAAAGGTAAAACAGGGTATTTAGAAGCGAATATAATACAAGACAAGAAATAGTATTTGAAATGTCTCGATGGCAAAGTTGGTGAAGTCAATACGATGCCGTACAATTTAAATTTTTATCACTAGTGAACTGTTCGAGCCTAACAAGTTGTCGCACCTTTTTTTCTTCCCCTATTTTTTTTTTTAATTTTACATTAGATGCACATAAATTGGAATATAAACGCAGTTTTGTTATAATAACGAATAATTTAGATATACCGGAAATAATGATTTTTATCCTGTGTAGTGTGTAATATATATATATATATATATATATATATATATATATATATATATATATATATATATATATATATATATATATATACAGTCAAAAACTGCCATAGTGACCCACTGTATTCAGCGACTTCCTGTCTTATGTGACCCTATTTGGGTCCGCCCAACGATTTTGGCTATAAAGTTGCACTGTATTAAACGACTCACCGTGTTACGTGACTAGCGACCGTGATTTGAACGGTCCGGAACGGGCTAAGCACTGTTTTTAGCGACTATGTTATGAAAGATAACTCTGTTCCTACTTCCTGTTTCGTTGAAAAAAATGTCGGAAAGAAAGAAAACACGTATTGTTTTAGATCTTCAACAGAAATATGAAGCCTTACAAAAATTGGATAAAGGAATACCGGCGTATAAAGTGGCAGAAGAACTTTGTGTTGGAAAAACACAAATCCAAAACCTTCGTAAACGTAAATTGGAAGTAATTTCGGACTTTGAAAATAATGTTCCATTGAATTCTAAACGTCGGAGACATGCAACTGGTAACGAGAAAATCAATGACTTAACCTTAACTTGGTTTCAGGATGCAGTGAAAAGAAAAATTGTGGTTACAGGTCCTTTGTTAAAAACGAAAGCATTGGACTTTGCATCCAAATTAAATATTTTTGAATTTAAAGCATCAAATGGTTGGCTGAAAGCTTCATTAAGCGCAACAATATTTCTTTCGGAAGCATGAGTGGTGAAAGGGGTGACGTCAAGCAGCATACAGTGAATGAATGGAAATCTCGACTTCCAGATCTGTGTAAAGACTATTCTGCTGATAACATTTTTAATATGGATGAAACAGGGTTGTTTTTTCGGGATACATCGAGAAAAACTTTCCATTTTAAAGGTGATGATTGTTCCGGCGGTAAACGATCAAAAGAGAGGATAACAGTTGCTCTCTGTGCCAGTTTAACTGGTGAAAAGTTAAAGCCTCTTGTCATAGGCAAATCAAAGGAGCCTAGATGTTTTAAAAGAATTAGGAAAGAACATTTACCTGTTGATTATTATTTTAACAAAAAAGCTTGGATGACTGGTAAAATTTACCAAGACTTTCTCAAAAATGTTAATCGGAAAATGAAAATGGATAAAAGAAAGATTCTTCTGTTTGTTGATAATGCCCCGTCACACCCAAATATGGATCTGAGCAACGTCAAGGTCCAGTTCCTGCCACCTAATACGAGGGTTGTTCAAAAAGTAATAGGACTGGGAGTCTTGCGTATTCAAATTTCATTCAATTTAGAATATTTTCATATGTACAGCGATCGTAAAATGTTTTCTACAATTCAAACATATTTTTTTTAATCTATTGTGCTAAACGCGTGTGTCCTGTGCTTTTGAATAACCATGGTAACACGCACCCGGCGCAGCACATAAATATAGTTATTGGAGCTACGTTGTACTTCTAATTTATTCATGAATAACTATCTGCTTTTCCCTGTATTTCATCAAAACATTGAAATATATTTATGTGACATTATGTCCAAATTTGACGTCATTCGGACATGAAATGGCCTAATTATTAAGTTTCGAACAGCAGCGGTCATAGTGTTAGTTGTAGAAATATGACATTCGTTAACAAACTGAAAATGTGTGCGATCGTTAAATTTTGCCAACAGATTGACTATAATCATTCAGATACACACAAAATGGTAAAATTAACAAAGGACAATTATCCTGCCATCAGGACACTCGTTTTCAGCTGGCACAAGCAATTCAAAAACTACGAATGCAAGATCACTAACGGGAAAGGGCGGCGAGGATGAAAGTTGAAAATTGACTGGACGTTAGTGACGTCAATTTCAAAAGCGCTACAAAAGAATCCACGGTAAACGGTACGCGAACTGTTTCTCGTTGTTTGTATCTTCTTCGGGTCTACTTATTCTGTTTTATCGAAATGATTGTAAATAAGACATTTGCTATAAACATTTTTTTTGTATTTAACTAGATATACGTGTAATCAATAAATTAATGTAATAATTAACGGTAATAATTGGTAGTGTTTTCCAAACTTGTATTGATACACGATAGACTGTGCTAAGTATAAAAGGATACTTTTCAATTCATAAATATTGTTATTGTTCTGTATATAATCATATTGTTTTAAAAACATACGATGACATGAGTAAATTAATATCATAAATTGCTTTTGCATTAACATTTAAAGTCCTACTGAGTTCCAAGGTTACTCAAAAAACACGAGAAAACCCGGAGAATGGCCGGCTATCGGGCATTTGTTTTTTTAAACAGTGGAACGAGAATGTGATCGCTTTTTTTCTTGCTTCATCTCCACATATGAGGCCAAGCAAAAGTTGCATGATTCATACACCTAGAGACTAGGGGAACTACTTTCAAAAAGAATGACGCTTGTTACAATTTCTATTTATTTTACAACGTCATGAACGTCAATAATGGTATTGTTAGCGTGCGCCGCAATTCGTACCCCTTGTCATTTGAAAATTTCACAGATTTTTTATTTCTGAACATTTTGTATTGAATTTTTCACTGTATATAGAGAACATGTTCCGATATTTGTTTCGTGTAAAACTGTGTACGTAAATTAAAAAATGTTAACGGTAGAGCTGCAGTCCTATTACTTTTTGAACAACCCTCGTACCACTTCCCTTACTCAACCAATGGACCAGGGAATAATCCAGGCTACAAAACTCAAAATAAGGAAACGTCAGGTACTTTATTATTTTATTCAATTGTTGTCATATTGCTTGATCAAAGAATGACTGTAGAATTTATATCTATCATAACAAAAACAGTAGAAGATTTTTTTTAATTCATTTAAATAACTTAAATTTTGTCGGTTGTTTCCTAAAATATAGTAGAATATTTATTTTAATTATAAAATAATAATAAAAAAAATGATGTCCAATCTTAATGACAATCATTTCAACATGATATTTGTGGAAATTTTAACCCCCTTATATTTTTCTTTATATTTCAGCTTATTCACATTGTGAAAGAAATGGACAGGCAGCCCAGCTTAGGAGGAACTGAGTTACTGAAACAAATCAGTATCCTAGATGCAATCTACTGGCTTTCAAATGCTTGGGATGAAGTGACAGAATTAACAATTCAAAAGTGCTTTAAAAAATCAGGGTTTGCAGTTGATTTTAGTAAAATAGATCAAAATGAATCAGTATGTGCAAGTGATGAAATTGAAATTGGTAGTAACACACTAGGTATTGAGCAACAACATCAAGATGTTATGGATGATGATGATGTTCCACTGTCAGCCCTAAAAATGTCATATGAAATTTTTGGGTGCTCGTTCAATGATTTGCTACAAATTGATAATCAGCTTCACACTTGTGATACAGAAATTATTAATTGGGACAAACCTGTATGTGACATATTGACTCAAATAAATGAGGAAAATTCTGATGACAGTGAAGATGAAATTGAAGAGATGGATGACGCTCAAGGATCTGTCATGCAAAATGCTCCATCACTGACCCAAGCAAATGAAATGGTGTTTCAACTGAAATCTTATGCATTGCAACATGGACATGCCAGTATAATGTACCATTTGTCAAAACTAGAGGATGAATTTTCAAGTCTAGTTGCAAGCAAAAGTAAACAGTCAAAAATAAGTGATTTTTTCAATAGGACAACTTAAATGAAAGACAGACTGTGATTCTGACATTATTTTATTAGTTTCATAATCATGAATTTTAAATATCAATAACATTGTAAATGTATAAATTTTTAACATGGTAAAGAAACAATATAATTCTGACATTTTAATAATTTTATTAAATATATAAACATTAATTTTTAATAATCAATTTTACAATCAAATATTCAATAGCATTTTACATGTATACAAATTTAACTGTACACACTTTTACTGCTCTTATCATAAATAAATGTTTTAACACTAAATGTATAATTTTATTAAATATATAAACATTAATTTTTAATAATCAATTTTACAATCAAATATTCAATAGCATTTTACATGTATACAAATTTAACTGTACACACTTTTACTGCTCTTATCATAAACAAGCAAATTCGTTGAATTTATATCCCCCGCCGAGTACTGGTTATTATTAACACAACAACTGAAGACATAAGGCTTTATTTATATATTAATCATGGCATAAACTGTAAAATTCTTTGAACTTGAAGCCTTGTACCTTCAAACAAGAAGAATTTTTAAGTTTTCACTATATACAGGCTGTCCAGCACCTTCTAACAAAAAATTAGGGCAAATTTTAGGGCAATTTTAAAGAAATTTTAGGGCTAAAATTAGGAATTTTACGGTAAATTAAGGAAATTTTAGGGCTAAAATTTGGAATTTTATGACTAAATTATGGCCTCAAAAGACCATGATATGGGCTCAACTTTGCATATTTGACACAAAAGTAACTCACAAATAATGCTCTAGTTCGGTGATAGCAAAGGTGTAACCAGTGTTCCATAGTGAAGAAATGAATTCACTGGTCAACTGCCTTTTAAAAGAGCTGAAAAACTACATTAAAACATAACTAGAATGAAAACATTTTCAAAGTTATAAGTATCCCGGAACAACCAATATTCAATTAGTTAAGCTATGATTAGCCAATAATAAATGGAAGGGGAAATTATGCTTCAGATTTATTTTAGCTATAAATGCATTTCTTATCAACATTTATTAATTTTAAGGTTGGTACATTTTCAACAAGTCTTGATCTTTCTTAAAAAACAATAAAAAACGATATGACCTACTCAAGTCATTCCCAGGAATGTTTAAACTTAAATTAAAACAGCAGGGTATACACCTATGATGAATTTGTTCAAGTAAATTGTAGAAAATTTCACAACAGTGTCAGTTTTTTTCAATGATTTTCAACAGTTTTTTTCCAGATTTTAAAAAACTTGCACTATATGTTATAACATATGTTCAGTACATGTTAGTGTGTACAAAAAGGGCAGCTGAAGGTGTCACTTCTTAGTACGCTAATTGGGTAGCAAAATGGTAAAAGCATCCAATCATTTTACTGCCAGTTTACGTTGCCCACCTTATAATTAGCAAATATGAAAACTTGTCTGGTATCACTTACAAAAGATCTGTTCTAGTCATCACTTGAAAATAACTTGATTACAAATTAAGATTTTATAAATAAGGACCCCTACATAAAGTTTGATGAAAATTAGTTGTTAATCATGTAAATAGTTCCTTTAAAAACACCTAAGACTGAGGTAAATGGTAAAACTCTGTGGCCAATAAAAATGTACATTGTAACTTCCTTGGAAATATTTTTATTCAGGTGACTATTTTGATATAGTCAAAGTCGGACAATTTTCATTGTTCCATTTAAAACAAACAGTTTCTTATTATTTTTCTGATAACACCTGACAATCAAGTATAGCATTTCTGCATGAGTTGAGGTAAATACAACATGTGACTTTATGCAATTTAGTCAGACATGACATCAGCTCCACTGACTGTGTTCGAATTTAGGTTGTGATTGAAACATGGTTGTTTCGCGACATGTTTATCACAAAAGATAAAAAAAATAGGAATTTAAGTGAAAAAATAGGGCTTTTTTAGGAATTCCCTTTAATTTTTTCATTTTTTTAGGAATTTTAGCCAAACTGAAAAAAATTAGGATTTTTTAGGAATTTTAGGGACGCTGGACAGCCTGTATATACATATAAGGAAAATCTATGACCCCCTGGAGTGGGGCCAATTTTGACCCCAGGGCTAAAATTTGAACAATTTTGGCAGAGGACCTATATCTTATATCATATACCAAATATCAAAGCTCTAGGCCTTGTACTGTCAGACAAGATTTTTTAATTTTGCATTTTTGAAACTCCTTTTCTGGCCCCGTGTGACTGATGATTGTGATTGAAAATTACAAAATTTTACTAAGTCAAGGGCAAAAACTCTAAAAATACTAAAAATATCCAGACGAAAATACCCAAGTGCACAACTACACATACTGATCAACATTCCTGTAAAGTTTCATGACTCTAGGTCAAATACTTTTTGAGTTACATGCGACACAAGTTGAAAATTACAAAATTTTACTAAGTCAAGGGCAATAACTCTAAAAATACTAAAAATATCCAGACGAAAATACCCAGGTGCACAACTTCACATGCTGATCAACATTCCCATAAAGTTTCGTTGAATTCCAGCCATTAGTTGCAGAGAACTACTCCGGAAACGAAATTCGGACAAAATTTTACTGAGTCAAGGGCAATAACTCTAAAAATACTAAAAATATCCTGACGAAAATACCCAGGTGCACAACTACACATACTGATCAACATTCCTGTAAAGTTTCATGACTCTAGGTCAAATACTTTTTGAGTTACATGCGACACAAGTTGAAAATTACAAAATTTTACTAAGTCCAGGGCAATAACTCTAAAAATACTAAAAATATCCAGACGAAAATACCCAGGTGCACAACTACACATACTGATCAACATTCCTGTAAAGTTTCATGACTCTAGGTCAAATACTTTTTGAGTTACATGCGACACAAGTTGAAAATTACAAAATTTTACTAAGTCAAGGGCAATAACTCTAAAAATACTAAAAATATCCAGACGAAAATACCCAGGTGCACAACTTCACATGCTGATCAACATTCCCATAAAGTTTCGTTGAATTCCAGCCATTAGTTGCAGAGAACTACTCCGGAAACGAAATTCGGACAAAATTTTACTGAGTCAAGGGCAATAACTCTAAAAATACTAAAAATATCTAGACGAAAATACCCAGGTGCACAACTTCACATGCTGATCAACATTCCCATAAAGTTTCGTTGAATTCCAGCCATTAGTTGCAGAGAACTACTCCGGAAACGAAATTCGGACGGACGGATGGACGGACGGACGGACAGACGGACGGACGGAAGGACAACGCCAAAACTATATCCCCCTCCCGATTCCATCGGCGGGGGATAATAAATGTTTTAACACTAAATGTATATGCTGTATTAGTATTATTTTAATAGTGTTTGGATGTTTTACTGTAAACCTGTATTAAGAGACTCCCTGTCTTATGTGACCTTCTTAAGAAAGTCCCCTGTAGGGTCACATAAGACAGTTTTGACTGTATATATATATATATATATATATATATATATATATATATATATATATATATATATATATATATATATATATTTATTTATATATATATATATATATATATATATATATATATATATATATATATTATATATATATTTATTTATTTATTTATATATATTCATAGTACTTTTGTTGGGCACAAGTATTTCATGCCAACTTAATTATAGTTGAAACAATTTATGTACATATATGCTTTCTGTATAAGATTGCACTAACTTGTTTAATATGGCACCATTTAAAAACAAAAGTGAAATGAGAAGTTAATAGAAAATAACACAGCACTTATAATTTTTACAAGAAAAAAGCATATTCTTACTTGACTGATGATGAAGCAGAAAATTTTGGGACCGAACCTGGCTGTCTTGCATTGATATGAAACTAGAAATATAGCAGACAACTTTACGTACTGTGTTACGCCGACAGTTGGTAAATTTGTCCATATTTTAATTTTTATGGCAAGCCTGCTTGACTTAAAGATAAACAGGAATGTGTTTGTTACACACAAATGCGGCTGAGATTCTTGTCAGTAACAATATTTAAAATAAAGGCTGTATGGGCAAAAGTGTAAAAAAATCTATTTTTAGCACTGATGACCTTGACCCAACTGACCCCTAACTCCATCCAAAGGAAGAATATCATGCAACTTATTTTCCCACCAAATATGAAATAAATCTGTCTATATATAAAGGCAGTATGGGCTAAAGTGTAAAAATCTATTTTTAGCACTGTTGACCTTGACCCAACTGACCCCTAACTCCATCCATGGAATGAACCTATTGTTCTCTTTTGTTCTCTTAACTGTTATATAGCCCCTAATACCAAAATGTTTCCTTGGACAGAGATGTAGTGTTGTTAGTATTTAGAGATTAGATCCGCCTACTTGATTAAATATGCACACTATGAGAACTCTCTCTTTCTCTGAGCCCTCTAAAAAAAGGCCTTGTTAGACAAGACTATTATATTATACATGCAAATTATATCAAGACCTCTGTTAACACATCTGTAAATAAATATTAGAATAGTCTTTGATATTGAATTTTTAATACAGTACAATATCTTAAGAAATACAAAACTTACAGTGAACAAGCAATTATCATAGTATTGCAAGCAATCCATAAGTCACCGGTTAGAACCCCAGCAACATTCTGATGGGCTATTGGCCATTCAATTATACCATTGAATGAATGAATGACATCAATGCACTTCAATCTTTTGAGTTTTAAGATTTTTTTTTTTTAATTTTTCAGCAACATAGGTTGCCCATTTATTTTCCCCGTAATTGGTGCAGTGGGGTCGGAGAGCCATCCCCTACTGTACCTTACATTATCAATTTATGGCATATATCATCATATTATATTCAAAACATTTAACTGACATTAAGCTCATTTTTTTTTTCAATGTCAAGTTTAGTTTTATTGACTATAAATTTCAATATTGACAATAATAATTAAGCTTGACAACAGTTGATATAAGAAAAAGTTTTGGATAAAATATATATCTGCCTAAAACATAAAGACTGTCCCATACTTTTATTAAGTATAATTTTTCCCTCTACAGATATTTCCAAAATGTTCCTTGAGCCGGTAACTCTTACGGCTTTTGAGTTTTAAGTTTGTATATAACATAGTACAGTCGACATTGTATTAAGAGACCACTCAAGGGACTGCCAAAAAGTGGTCTCTTAATAAAGTGGTCTCTCAATAGAATTCTGGAAAATTCGAGACTTTTTATTACAAGTCATAGATATAATAACATCTTTTTTATAAAAAAAAAAC